GGGAGACAAAGTTGATAGTTTTGCCTCTGTTAATGGCTTGTTTGAGCAGTGGAGCTCGGAAGACAACAAGTCTATGGATGTTCCTGCTCATTTCTCTGTTACACCGCTGGAAGACGCCTCTGCAGCAGACATGTCTTTTAGGTCAGGGGAGCGAGAAGAGCTATGGCACAGCAATCCTTCCCACTTGAGTCTAGACCTGTCCAGTGTTGACTCTTATGAACTGGCTGACATGGGGAATCAGATGACAGATAGCCTACCCAGCACTCCGTCACCTGTAGAGAACACAAAACCCTTCTCTGGGCAATCTGACAAAGAGCTAGGCATCATAAATGATGTGGGTTTCACCACTGATCTGTCTCTATTTGAAAACCAAGGGGTAAGTAATTATTTCCTTATGTGGTTGATTTCTCCTAATGTCTGTAATGTGGGTGATTTTTTTTTCTCCTTCCCCCTAAACTCACAAATGGAATAATTACTGTCCCTCCTCACTCCCCAAAAGAAAAATAAACGATATACTTTTTGTAGAGCTCTTAGAGGGACTTCCTATGTGTTTCAGCCTGCTGTGCGTGGGCTGAAAGAATAATGAAAGACAGTTTGGAATCTGTGATTTCTTCTAAGCATATGTTTTTTCATAACTTGATTGGAATAGGTTTGCTTTAATAAAATGTTTCTGTGTTGAAACATTCTTTATCTTCCAAATAAGGCAAACAGTATGCTTGCTTTGGGGAAAAAAAAAATCAAGGGTATCTAAAGGTCAGGGTATATATGAGGTAAATAACAAGGTATAAATTGAGTCAGTATGTATTATGGTGAGTTTTTGTGTTTTATGTTTCCATTTTCACTAATTTAGCAACATGGCTTTAGACCGCAGAGTTTTCAAAACTGGTGAAACATGCAAATATACAGACCATGATGAATGAAAAACTTTGAAGGGCTCTGCGTATTTCTTTTCTTTTGTAGGGGTGTGATAATGAACTCATACAGTTACTTACAGACATCCTGCTGTGTATAATGTGGAAAGGCCTTGAAAGGTCTGATGATTCTGCTTGGATTGAGAGAGGACAGGTGTTTTCTGCACTGACCAAGCTGGGAATAGCTAATGAATTGCTGCGACCTTCTGATGAAATAAAGCTCAAGTGAGTACTGCTCAAGGACAGGATTCTTCCTTTCTTTTGAGAAAATGGGGATAAAAAGCAAGGGGAGTTAATGAACTTAAGAGAATAGAGTGAGATTTCCATTGGGATATATGGAATATGTGTGAAGATTGAGCAACTTTGCTTTATCTTCATGCATGTTCTACTAGTTACTAGTTCAACATGACTCTTGGGGTATGAAAACCTGTATCTTTGATTTTATGAGCTTCTCAATCTCTTACCTCATTGTCTTATTGAGTAGAGGACACTTGTATCACTGCAGACTGAGACTCGATTAAATACTTAATTGGATTTTTTTTAAGCCACTTACACTCTGAACATGTAATAATTACTCTGGGATTTTGTTTTCTTTGTAGCTTGCTGGAGAAGATGTTAGAATGGTCGGTCACTGATAACAGAGATTCCAAAGCTCTCCCTCTGCATGCTGAAAATGCCTTCCGGCTCTTGCTAATTGTACAAGATTTCCTTCGGGCAGAAGGACTAGTTAATTCAAATTTATGGACAGAAAAGGTACAGTAACTGCATAATGGAAATTCTTTATGTAGGCTGAAAGAGTAATGAAAGACAGTTTGGAATCTGTGATTCCTTCTAAGCATATGTTTTTAAACTAGATATTAAAGAGTAAGGGTTCAGAGTGGAATAATTAGATTGGCCCTTAATGAGAAGAAATTTTATAAATGTTTAAAATAGGGAATACAGTTAATATTGCAAATTAAATATGTCCATAGTGGTACTTATTATTGAAAATCCAAGTTTCTTCAGACTGTTTACAAATCAGTCATTGCTCTTGATCACAGTGGAGCAAGGAATGTCACTTCTGGGTTGTGACCCATGTTGGAGTTGTAGCATGTTTTTGTACATGTTTTACAAGCTCATAGCAAAATTTATATGCCCAGAGAGTCAGGAACTTGAGGCCTGAGAGAGAAAATAACTAGCAAACACAAAAAGTAGTAGGATGAAGAACCTTGGCCGTGTTTCCTTGCTTCTTGGAGTATAAATCATAGTAATCTATAACTTGCCTCACCATTTACATTATTTCTAGCAATAGCCTTGCTTCTTTTACTATCTGAGCTATCTCATCACTTTTTTTTTTTGGAGGCTGGAGGAAAGCAGAATTATATGTAATTCATCGTTCATAACAAATCCATGGAGAAACAGTTTATTTTTAAGTACTACTACTTTTTTAAAGTAATATCTTGAAAAATAATCATTATTGAGCATAATTACTAAGCTATTCTTCAAAATATCTACTTATAAGCAAACATAATTTAATTTGTGAGTATTAGAGTAGGGTTTTTCTTTATTTCTGAGTCTTTCCTAAATAGGGATTTTTACCTTTTGTGGTGACCTAGCTTTGTAACATCTAATTAGAAATAAGATCTGAACTTCGGAGCAATGGGAATTGTGCTTATTGCCATCTTTGAAATATTACTTTCATAAATTATCCTGTGTGTGGAGAGAGTTTAAAGTACTTGCTGTAATATAGCAAACAGAAAAGCTTGTGGCATGCCCCAAGTGGTCTTGTGAGTCTAGGAATTAGCATGGAAGTAGTTTTAATTCTAAGTGAATTATAAGGGAATGGATGAAGGTATATATTACTAGTTCTAAGCAAACAGTTCTTAAGGGTAAAATGTTCCATTTGCTTTGAAAGTTATTTCCTTTTGCGAGAAGGTTTGGATCACTTAATATAAAAATAGAACAGAGAGGAGAGAGGCCTTTTTTTTTAACTACTCTTTATTTAAGTTAGTAGTAGTTGTCTTGAAGTTGGTTATGAAAGAGGCCTTGTTTTCATTCTCAGGGCTCCATGTGTGGTGCTACTGATGGTAAATTAAATTAGTATTGCATATGCCTAACATAAAGTACAAAGGAAAAGGGGATAAGTTAGAAGTGTGAAGGCAGATGGTTCTTCAATTATTGGAAACTATTGTCTTTGGCTGGAGTAGTTTGATAATTTCTGACTTGTCATGCACATCTGCTTTTAAAACAGCTTTTGGAAGAACTAGTGACTCTTATGGATTGTCTGTCAATCTGGTACTCTGCGGGCCCAGAAGCAATCAGGCTTTCACAGGTGCAAGTCCAATTGCTCCTTGGATTCATTGCACAAGATAACTTACAGGTTTGTTTTAAATTCTTGAAAACACTTAATTTTAAGTGCACATGGTTGATAAAATAGTTGTGTTTTATAGAGGAGCTGTTTGTACTAGTGAGCAAACCAATGCCAATCTTTTACTTTTCTGTAGGTAAGGAGGTTTTAGCAAGTCTTGCCACCTGCAAAATCTTTCTGCAGTCGTCTCCCTATGCATTGGGAACTCTCATTGAGTATGAGAATGAACTAGAGGGCAAGTTGTTTGAAGTTGAGGTGCTCTATGCATAAGTGGTAGTAGGATAGTGATCCTGATTGTTACATTTCGTTTCTACCATAAATACACTTATCAGCAATTCCAGATTTATATAGACTAAGTGTGCATAAACCTGAGCTGCTCTGCATGAATCTGCATGTGGTACAAAGTCAGCAGAGTTGTGTCTGAAGTAATGAGCTCTTTTGTGAAGCTGGGATTGTTAGCTTAGGTACTTAGGCCCATGATTGATGTGTTTGTGCCCTCAGATGACCTGAGATACAGCCAGAATATGTACATGCACCTGTTAAGATACTATTACTATTTTAAGCATTGCATTTTTTTTCTTTGTTTGTTTCTCCAGGTTTGTGCTATGGCAGCAGCCAAACTAAACACCCTTCTTCAGACCAAGGTAATTGAGAGCCAGCCTGAAGCATGCTACCTCCTGGGGAAGCTGGAAGGCATTCTGAGTAGATCAATTGAAGAGAAGACAGAAACATATTCATTTTTGATTCCTCTTGTTCGAACACTTGTATCCAAAATTTACGAACTTCTTTTCATGAACCTGCACCTCCCTTCATTGCCTCCTACTAATGGCAGCCCCTCTTTCTTTGAGGACTTTCAAGAGTATTGCAGGTCGGATGAGTGGCAAGTTTATATAGACAAATATGTAAGTAGGAGATATTTTTTTCCTCGTTTTATACAATAAAGCAGCAGAACTACGTTCAGCAATCATATTGGGCTTTTTATTTTCTTTTGGTGGAACCAGATTATTCCAAATATGAAGCAATATGAAGACAATTCATTCAGAGATTGTCATGAGCATATGGCACTTTATTGGAAAGATTGTTATGAAGCATTCATGGTGAACATGCACAGGCGGGACCGGGAGAGAGGAGAAAGCAAGCTCAAGTTTCAGGTAAGGCTTTGAGGTCATCTATTAGCAGTTTGCAGTGTTTCAGGAATCATCTTCCAATAGATGGAGAAACTGAATCCAAGGATAACCTAGTTCTAGTGATTACAGGTAGGTTGTTTGTTGTAGATATTATGGGTAATCTTAATTTAAGACTGTTCACGCTTGCAGGATATGCTGTTGAATTATATTTTTTTTCCTATGCAAGAGTCCTATTTGTAAGCACAGTTATTCCAAGACAGTTGTTTTTTTCTCATAGTACAGCAGCCTAGAATTTATAGTCAGCTGTAAACTGCATCTTTTCTTATTCTGACTTATGTTTTGAGGTATTAAAAAAAAGTTTTTTTTTTTAACTCCAATTCAGTACCATGAAAACATTATAGACTTGGAATATGTTTGATCTACTCGCGCAAGCAGTTCAGATCTATTTTTCCAATGAGTAAAAGGGAACTGACCATTTTATATGAGGTTCAGATTCAATTTAGGTATTTTCATCATTAATTGCAGCAAGTGTATCAGGCAAATTGTTTCCCTTATTTTCCCTGTGTTTTACTTAAAAGTCCTTTTGATAAGTCTTTTCTACTCAAGTAACTAAGGACAATACAATCATGCTCTAGAATGCCAGAATTTAAATGAAAGTCCTCCATATTTATCAAATAAGCCTAACAATATTGACTACTTCTATGATTATGAAAAATTGTTTCCATATTGATTGAGCACTGATAATTCTTTCTTCACAAATTAAGTCACTGTTTTTGTCATTTCTTCCAGTACTAAGCTCTTCTAACTTTTTCTCACAAGTCTTACTTTACATTTTCAGAAGTTTAGTTACATTTCCAAATGTAGGGTTCTTTCAGCACTAGATTTACTTTTAATACTCTTTCAGGAGTCTTTTGTGGACCCATTCAGCAGAAAGGCTCTCCAGGAAAGTCTACGGTACAACAACATGCTAAAGCAACTTAATAGTCAACATACAGCTACTCTGAGGCAGTGGAGAGCAGCCCAGCTTTACTTGCACTCTGAACGTGGTCCTTGGTCTGAAAAGTAAGAGAAAATTTATTGAATCAAAAAATCTGGTGCTTAAAAGGAATTTCTCACATGATTAACTTACTGTTTCATGTGACTAAAACTGTAGAACCTTGTCAGATTGACTTAGGTAGTCGTTTTTGAGTTGTAAAGTCTTTATCGAATGCATTTTTAATATTTTTTATCTGAATTAAATTATCAAATTTCAAATTTCAAAGTGTTATACTAAACAATACTAAACAGAAGTGCTGTATTTCAATAGAAAATAAGTATTATGAAGTGCTTTAGGATTATCAGAGCTGCAATATAGAATACTCTGCAGCTTGCCATTTTCATGTTTTTGTAATGTATGGATGGGGTGTTTAAGGGTTTGTTTTTTTTTTTTTTTTTTAAAGTATACAGTTTCTTAGAATCACTTTAGTGTTTGCCTCCTTTTAACTCTTTTTGTAAATATGCTTATTTTCATAGGAAACAGCATCCTGTTCACTGGAAACTTTCAAATGTGGAAAATTATTCACGTATGAGGCTAAAACTAGTGCAAAATTACAACTTCAACTCCCATCAGGATGCTAGTGACCTGAGAGACAATTTGGGTAAAGTTATGTTGCGTTTACTTGGTTCACTTGGATTTTTTTCAAGTTTTTACTGATATATCTGTGTATTTAGGAATCAATCTATTATAGATACCTACATTGGTATTGGTAAATATTGGTTTTCTTTGTTTTTTTTTTTCTGGTATACTAAAATGAGTCACATAAGAGTAAAGGGTTTTGACATGAAATAGAATTTTCCTTCTGGGTAAACTTCATTTTCTCCTGTACATCAGAGTGGGCATTTTAAGCTTTTTTAAAAATTAGCAAGTGTATACCTTACTTTCATAAGATCTCTTTTTCCTAGGAAAGGAAACAATGTGATTAGAGTAGGCAGCCTGTAGTTGTTTAAGCCTGATTTTAGAGCTGAAGATTAAAATGTCTAGATACAGAGCACTTTGTTGGAAGTGTGTCAAGGTGTAAGCTCTTCAAGCTAGGGATCTTGGATATCAAACCAAAAAATAATCTGCTCATTGTGAACCAAAAACGAAGAAAAAACAAATGGACTTTTATTTCTAGGAAACCTATATGCTGTGACAGATGGGTTTTGCTGAACACTACCAAATATTCTATTTAAAATGTATATGTTAGAAATGCTAATACCAGTTCTAATGTGACCCTCCTTTGTATATGTTTTGACATGTATTTTGGTGTAATTTGGAAGGCAGTTTCTAAGTGTTTAGCTTGCCCTCAAAAAGTATTTAAGATATCTGGTTGCTTCTTACTCGAATAAAAATAGCATTAAACAGTAAAAGATCTACTCAATAGTTCAGCTTTCCAAAGAAGCTGTAACAAAATATTTTCTGAGTTAAAATGTGTATCACAATAGGTGTGCACCAGACACAGCCTTCTAGTGAGTCTCTGCTTCTGGAGGTGGTGAAGCAGGTGAAAGTGAGTGACTTGGAAGATGATGTTCTTGAACTCCCAGAAGAAGACACAGCAGTCAGTGTCCATATGTAAGTAGAGCATGGAGCAGCTGAAATTTATTTCTGTTATAGGGGATAAGGAGTGGGAAAACAACTGTTGAAGTGACTAGCATGCAAAACTTTCTTTGCCTATACTTAACTTGGTTCAGTCCAGGGCTTTACGGTAATTTCTGAACAGCTGAGTTGTTGTTGGGTTTGTCATCATGAGTAAGACATGAAGAACTCCATGGAAAAGGAGGCGTGAGGGGGTTTGGTGCAGAGTGGGTGTATGTGGTGTTGCACACAGTTGTGTGTGTCTGTGCTTCTGAACTCCAGTGGAGACATGGCACTTTGGCCAGGTGGTGCTGATTTTTTTTTTTTTTTTTTTTACAACTTAAAATTTGCTGAATGTTTGTGATGTGTCACCTCTAATCAACCTCTATTTCCAATGTTTCTGACAGTACTTTGTAGTCTTGTTAACCTCTGCTGTAGACCAGGATTGATTTAAGGATACAACACTTCAGTAAGAAAGGCAAATGGAGCCTCAGTATTTCATACTTCAGAGCAGGTCATGTCCATCTTGTCTGAGACTAAAATAGCAATTCTATAAAATGATGTCTGGTAGCATAGTTTGAAACATACATGAAAGCTAAGGCAAGTAAAATGAATTATGATGTGCTTTTTGCCATTCAAATCTTTCTGTGCTTTTGCTATTCAAGTCTTTTCTGAATGATACCTTTAGATAAGTAGCTGTCTGTCTAATTTTTGAAAAAATGTAACACTTAATGTGTGTCGGGGGTGTGTGTTTTTGTAGGGATGAGAAGGAGGAACAAAGCCAGAAAGAAAAGCTAGTGTTGTCTGAAGACTGTGAACTCATTACAGTAATTGATGTGATACCTGGCAGGCTGGAGATCACTACCCAGCACATCTATTTCTTTGATGGCAGCATTGAAAAAGAGGAAGGTGAGCATGACCTGTAACATCTTTTTCTTTTCAGTGCACTTCAGCCTTCTGTTTTCAGTAGGCTGAACTTGATTTTTTGTTTTATTTTGAGAGTCAGGGATGGGAGTGATTATTAGACTAACTATGAAGAGATAAGTTTGTGAATCTCTGTTTAAAGCAAGTTCAACAGTTGAATATTAAATAAGTAAATGGAACTATACTTATTTAACCAATGTTTGCTTTTCCCAAGGAATATATTAAGAAGCTGCCCTGCTCAAATTCTATGCCTAACGCTTCTGTTTGAGCTTGGCTGAGAAACCAGTGGTCTTTGATTCCTACTTTTGTCAACAAATCACATATCTAATGTCTTTGATAACTGGAAAACCAACAAGAAATTCTCCATCCCTTCAAATATTTTCTTTTGTTTTGCTGTTTGTTCAAATATCGTTCTACTGAATAAACAGTATTTGAAGTTAATAACGTTTTCCATGTGAAGTGCTAGGAAGTCAGACAATATATGAAATTTCCCTGTTCTGAGGATGACTCTGGGATGATCAGAAATTACGTTGTATATAAAAAGTTTTTAATATATTTTGAATCAATAATCAGAGTGCCTGTTCTAGGTCTAGGTTTTGATTTCAAATGGCAACTTTCACAAATTCGAGAGATACATTTGCGTCGGTACAACCTGAGGAGGTCAGCCTTGGAGATCTTCCTTACAGATCAAACCAACTATTTCCTCAACTTCAATAAGGAGGTATGGGTTTTCCATATTTCTCTGATTTAGTAGCCCAAAAGTCAAATTGTAGTTCTGTGTTGATGTCGAAGTCTAGTGTTTTTCATTATATTGTGATAGCAGCAAAAATGTTTGCTAGATGTAGCAATTGCATGAAATTAAGAATAGCATCTGAAAAACTATTTTGCATCTAGAAACTAGTAGCTTTTGCTGTTGTATCATTAAAAAGATGCAGGAAAAATATTCAACTGAAATTACATAAACAAGTATTCTAAATTTCTTGATGTCCATGTGTCTTTTTAAATTTTCTAGAAAATTATAAAACAAGATTTATTTTACCATAACATTGGAAATTATATTTTTATATTCTATGATACAGAATTGCAGAATTTTTTTTTACTATGAATGATATAAATGATCCTATGTCTGTGGTGCTGAGAAATGTATGTGAACAAAGACTGGGTTACATACTAGTAGGTCAATTAATGAATCTCTACTATAAAATGGCTCTTTCAAGTGCCTAAATCTGTGAAGTAGCTTTGTAAGGAAATTATTGGTGTAATCGTATTCCAACAGCAGCAATATCCCCATTTTTGTAGGAATAATAATTATTCGCTGTAGAGTCCACACAAAGGCATTTCTTCACATGTATTTGCCTTTGTCCTGTAGTTCAAAATGTTTTATACAGCAAGAGATAGAGGGGTTTAAAAAAGTAACCATGTTCACTTTATTTCACACTTTAATTAGCAGAACAGTTATTTACTTGTTTGTCAGCTTCAATCTTTAATATCTCTAATATTTTTTGTATTGTTCTCTAACAGGTGAGAAACAAAGTTTACAGTCGAATTTTGTCACTACGTTCTCCAAATGTTTCTGGGACTAGATCTCCACAGGAACTCTTCAAAGCTTCAGGTTTGATGCAGGTAGGAGACTTCAGCAGAAATGGTCTACTGCATTCTGCTGCTTTCGAAGGAGAACTTTAAAATTACATAGTAAAAATAGGCCTTGGAATAGTGATTTTTTGGTGTTTGAAAAGTTATCTGCCAATTTCTCTATCTTCAGTCTGTCCTATGAAATTTCAATTGCTGTTTTTGTTTACAAGCTTCATTACAGAAAACATTCTCTCCACTTAAATACACAACACGATGGCTTTTATCCTTGAGGAAATACTGAATATGGACAAGGCAAATTATTTTCAATAACAGCAGCTTTGATAATACTTCCATCTCTTTTCCTTTGTCCTTCAGAAATGGGTGAATAGAGAAATATCCAACTTCGACTACCTTATTCAGCTGAACACAATGGCAGGACGAACTTACAATGACCTGGCTCAATATCCTGTGGTAATTCCAAAAAAAAAAAAAAAGTTGTTTAAGTTACTTTTTTTTTTTCTTCTATTTTGAAAGATGCATCTTTAGTCTCAGTTGCTCAATTGTATCTGTGACATTTGTTTTTTTCCAGTTCCCCTGGATTTTACGGGATTATACTTCAGAAGAACTGGACCTGAACAATCCTGCTGTCTTTAGAGATCTGTCCAAACCTATTGGGGTAGTAAATGAAAAGAATGCTAAGGCTGTGAAAGAGAAGTATGTATCTGAGCAACCAGTTATATATATATATATATTAAAAAAAAAAAAAGGCAGCTAATCTTATATCCTCACAGATGCACTTACAAAGATTGGTTCTTCATTCCTTGCTGTGCTAGGATTAACTCTTACGGTATGAAAAGGACAAAATTTTCTGTTGTAAATTTTGGGTTATTTCTCAGATGCCGGTATGGTAGTCCTGAAAACTGTAGAAACACTAAATTTAGTGGTCCAGGAGCTTGAAAAGACCTACTTAAGATAAGGAAATATGAAATCATGCTGATAAGTAAGTAGAGTTGCTTTTAGTGGAAGGCAGCATTGATCAGATCCCTATTTCTGTGATGTCTTTTTTTCTAGCATAGATTATTATCTTGAAATAAGCTGTAGCTCAACCACTTCCAGCAGCTCCGTTTTAAGTAGGAATGACAGGTACTTACACCCACATATCAGTGCAATATTCCCTTTTGCTAGTGTGAGGAGGGAGCATGCTATCATGCCAGATTGCGCTTGTCAGCCTCTTTCCAAAACTAGCTTTCTTCAGAAAACTCTGAACGTGCAGAGTTTTCTTTGAACGATTAAGGGCTATCCCTAATTGCAAAGAAACCAGTTCTCTGGCAGTATGTAACAAAAACTTTTGCTCATAACTATGTGGCACTGGGAAACCTATCAGCTGTATGATACTGGAGACAGTTTGTCAGTAGAAAAGGACAGTAGGCAGAGATTTGTTTTAACAGTCTTAGCTGCATCTTGAGGCACTCCTGCACAGGGCTTTTTTTGTTTTGTTTGCCTTTTCCCCTGTCTTGAAGGAAAAGATCTCCAATTCCTTCAGTAATAAGTATTTATCTTTGTAATTAGTATTTAGCTTTAGATGATGTCATCTTTCGGCTGTTGTGTTGCTAGATCATGTCTGTTTTGCCCTTCATCTAGTTTGTCACTTGAGGGCAAATGCCTAGTGAAGAAAAAACCTGGTATGTGCAAAGGGGGATTCGTCATCTGTTGTAGATTTCTGTCTTTCTGCAATGTGTGGCTTAGGGGATTTGAGAACCAGAATTTGAATCCTCAAGTTAAATAGATCTCATTATTTTTTTTATGTTCTTTATCTTTTTCATCTTTTTAGGTATGAGAACTTTGAGGATCCCCTTGGGATAATTGACAAGTTTCATTATGGAACACATTACTCAAATGCTGCTGGTGTCATGCATTACCTCATTCGGGTAGAGCCTTTCACAACCCTTCATATCCAGCTTCAGAGTGGCAGGTATACTGTGAGCAATTAAGTAGCATATTTTTTTCCCTTATCATTTAAACGAGGGACTGTTCAAAGCCTGACTTGACTTTTCTGACTGGCAGGTTTGACTGTGCAGATCGCCAATTCCATTCCATTCCTGCCACCTGGCAGGCGCTCATGGACAACCCCAATGATGTCAAGGAGCTTATCCCAGAGTTCTTCTACTTCCCAGAGTTCCTGGAGAATCAAAACGGTAAAATGGCTGCTTGGCATGTAGTGAATAAATTTTTTTTGTGTTCTCTAGAAAAGAGTGTCACAGCTCTTTTGTGAATGCTGTGGAACTGCTCTCACTTAAGCTTTATAAGGTGCTTGTAGAAGGCATTTTAATCATCATAGTGGCCTCAAACTCGGTTGTGTTTAGCAACTGGCTTAATTTTTAAGAACCAAAGAGTTGTTCCAATGGAAATTGCTGGGATTTAAGACATAGCGAAAGCCTTGATTCTACAGTCATTTAAACCTAAAACTAACTGCACGCAAATAAGTTTTGGACTCTTCATTATGATAAAATAAAGCAAATGCATGTATTTTTAGACAGGCGTATAAATGATTAATATTACTTTGAGATTGAGTATTAAGGTTCTATATTATTTAGATGCTCTGGACGGCTATCATTTAATATTTTTAGAGATTTGGAGCAGACTTTGGTCTCCTGTGCCAGTAGTAGAGTTACAGGAGAATTAGCAAGGCTTTTTTTCAGTATCTGTCCATTATGTTGAGAAAATAATGCTTTTAATCTTTACTGAGTGCTTAAAACTTTTCAAATATTTTGCAGTAACTCTTAAAAATCTCCAAATTAATTGCTAGGTTTTAACCTGGGTCAGCTTCAGATATCCAAGGAGTTAGTAAATGATGTTGTTCTCCCAAAATGGGCCCACTCCCCAGAAGACTTCATTTGTAAACACAGGAAGGCTCTGGTAAGACGTTGGCTACATGAATCTTTGCATGAGGAAATGGTAAAGGCAGTATAGCTAGATGTTGTCACTGTTGTTTAAGTGTAAAATACTGCAACTATATTTGAAATAGAGTTGTGGTTGTATTGGATGTTGCAGGTAACACAGACTTTCAGGGACTGTTTGCATAAATAAAGTCCTCAAAAAAAAAGCGCATGAAAATGAGTAATTTGGAAGTTTGCTGTGTTAGAGAAAAGCAAAATTTGGTGGAATTAAGTGATAACACTTCTATTGTCTTTTGTAGTTCTATGTGGCAGTAAGTAACTAGCAGTTTACCTTCCCTTGCTTTTCAATATCCAGGTGTACTGCTTCTCTATGTTAAATTCCCCTCTTGCTTTGCACTTTCTGCCCCTGACATATATGCATATTCTTAGGCTTCTGCTCCATATGTTGGTGTATATTTAGTTTGTGGATACTCTTAGTTTAGGAACTCAACCTCTTTCGTAGCATTATACTTCTAGGAAAGCGCAGTGTTTTTATGTCCTTACAACAGTAACTTTTCCTCTAGGAATCAGAGTATGTTTCAGCTCATCTGCATGAATGGATTGACTTGATTTTTGGCTACAAGCAGAGGGGTCCAGCTGCAGTGGAGGCACTCAATGTCTTCTATTATTGTACTTATGAAGGTATGAGCAATTTGGGCATTGCTGTCAGTCATGAGTTTGCAGTACTAGCCAGAAAAGATTTGATTTTTCAATGGAGGGCCAATTCTTATATATAAAACACACATATGTATGTATTAAATGTATACATATATAGGCACACACACCATGGAAAATGTTAAAATCCGTTAATCCCAACAGTGGATTTTGGGTGTTTTTTGGGTGTGACTCATTGAATCAGTTTTCAGATGATCATGTTTTATATGGATGCACTGTTTGGAGGCATCGGTCGGCAAAAGAGTAATAAAACTTTTTTTTTCCTGTATATTTGCTTGCAGTCTCTTTTCTCAGTAAATTGTTTGTATTGTGTTTATTTTTTTTTTCACTTTCCCTCCATCATTCCGATTTTCATTTAGGAGCTGTGGATTTGGATGCTTTAACGGATGAGAAAGAAAGGAAAGCTTTAGAAGGGATGATAAATAATTTTGGACAAACTCCCTGTCAGCTGCTAAAGGTAATGCTGTTTGTTCCTCATCAGTCAGACCTTAAATCCATTAAATCCAACTGAGTTGTCAAGGGCCTGTAGCAAAAAATGGAAAGATGATAATGTTTGGAGCTTTAGGAAAGTGAATCCTTTACTATATCAGTATTTACAAAGATTGCACTGATGGCAATGTGACATAGCATTTTCCAAAGAAGGAAAATTCTATTCCAAAAGCAAATTAGATGCCTAATGAAGCATCTGCTTTCCCATTGGTTGTCAATGAGATTACTATATGTGTCTTAAATTGATCAAAGATCATCTAACCTGATATTCCTTCCAATGTTGCATCTTAGGAGCCACATCCTCAAAGACTGTCTGCAGAAGAGGTAGTGCAAAGACTGACCAGAAGTGATACCTCTACTCTGAATCTCTTCCATCACCTCACTGAACTCAAGTCCTTCTTTATAGAGGTAAGTGTTTGAAGTCCAATCTGAAACAAAAGATCATAACCTAGATGGAAGTAAAACTCACTATTTGTAGAAAATATTTTTAAATGTAGTGTGCATATTATGAGCTTTGTCATTTTAATTTGCCTTACAGAGGTTGAATGCCATCAGTTTATAACTGCTGGCCCTTTGACCATGCTGTGAAAGCTAAAAATGTCACTCGTAATATTTCAGGACTTATTGAATTCAGTGCCTAAACTCTCTGATTTGGGACAGAGATGTGTTTTATTTCTGATGTTTGTGACTGAATTGAACATGTGTAGCTAGGTCTGAGAGTCCTTAATAGGTCTGGTACTGATTCTGGAGACTTTGGTCATGCTTTTTGCAGGTTCTATACTTCTCCTTTAGCTCTTGAATACCATCAGACCCAAACCATGCCCTTTCTTCTAGGGCATCAGTGATGGTGTTCCCATTGTCAAAGCAGTCGTCCCGAGGAATCAGTCACGTTCTTTTATGTCTCAGGGAAGCCCAGAGATCCTGGTGAGTTGTGTGTGTCAGCACCGTTCTTGGTGACTGGAGACAATGGTGTGGTTTTTCTTTTTCTTCATGCAAAGGTTAGAGAAACTGTTCCCAGCTGTTTGTGTTGAAATGTGTTTCTTCAATTTGTGATGAGAGTCCATTGTAAGTTAAATATCTATCTTCTGAAGGCTGACAAGGCTGACTTGTTGAATGGCATTTAGCTGTTGGTGAGATATCCATGTACACTGTGTTGAGCTTTATTGCAAGTTGCCCACTCAGTCTGATTCCATAGTAACAATTGATTTTCTAATGCAGCCCAGCCTAATTTTAAAGTAAAACTGTGATATTAATCATACTGGCAGTTTTTTCATTGCTTTCCAACCCACATATTATCCTATGCCATGTCTGAACAGTATATGTTATATAAGCCTTTACTGCTCCTAAAATTAATTTTGCCGTGTGTAATACAGGCACCAGTACTGTGTCTGATGTCCACATGGCTTAAAATAAGCAAAAATATCTATCATACATATCTATGTTGGACTGGCATAATTAAAAAAAAATACAGTAAGTAAAGGAAATTCATGTGCTTTTCTTTGATACATCTCTGTTGAACTTGTCACCTGAGCTGAATTTTTTCGTGCATGTGATTTGGGGGAGTTTAATTTTCCTTCTTTTTCCTCAAGCATCCACTGTTTATGCAAACGTCCTTATTAGGAAAAACAAGCAGAATAAGCCTCTGGGTTTCACTGCTGTATTTTCTTTTGCTTTATTTGTTTTTGCTTTCTATCAAATTTTTTCAGGTAACAGCAAGTCTGAATTGCCTTATTGGAACCCATGGTTGGCTACCTTATGACAAAAATATTTCCAACTATTTTACATTCATCAGAGATACCACAGTGACAAATCCAAAGTAAGCAAACAATGAGGAAAGACTCAGCTGAATGTGTCTACAGGAACAAAATACCGTGCATGCTCAGTAAACAGTCAATTGTCCTGTTTTGAGTGACTGCCTTTTCAGTCAAGTATGATGATCAGTACTATGTTTAATCTGTGGCACTGTTCCAGTAAAAATTCCATAAGTAGTATTTAAGGTTCTTAATTCTTAAAACAACTTAAAATTGATTTTTGTTTAATTATGAATCGCACAAACGCATCTTGAAATCTGAGATGAGCAGTCTCTGTACTTGCTCATGCTGTAGTGTAGGTGTATGTGGCAGTTTCTTTTCCTTGCTTCTGTGAAGCTTCCTTTTTTTTTTTGTTTCCTTAATATTACAATATTTACTAGTGATGTGAATTATCCACATGAACTGAAATCGTGTAAAAGATAGAAAAGATCTACAGTGCAAGATTGCTTCCCCTGATGAGTGTGAGTTTTCTGTCGTTATTGAGGGAGTAGGATTTCACCTCTTGTTTTTTCTAGGTATAGCTCTTTTCTAGGTAACGTTTCTTACTAACTTTTAAGGATGTAGGAAGTGCAAAGCAAGCAGATGTGCAATAAAGTGAGTCTTAACTGTTCATCATTTGCCTGCAGAACCCAGCGCAACATAGGTGGTCCTTTTGCACCAGGACTGGAGATCACTTCCAAGTTGTTTGCAGTATCCCACGATGCAAAATTGCTATTTAGTGGAGGACACTGGGATAATAGCATCAGAGTAACATCTCTTACAAAAGGCAAGCTGGTTGGGCAGCACATCAGACACATGGGTAAGTAGCCCTATTTGCTTATATTCTGCAATGAACGTTGTTTGGGAATCTTGTGAAGGTGTCGTACCTTAATATTTGATTGGTCTTTTGGAGAGAGTTATAGCCAGTGCATCTGAGCACAGCAACCGTAAAAGGCAACATAAGGACAGAGGAACAACTGAATGAAGGCTATTGAGTATGGCTTTTAGTCACTTTAGTGACTGTTTAATTAACTTCGCAAATAAGGTTTGACTTCTGTTTTTTTAGGTAATTAAGGTGATTAAATTAGGTCGTTACATGTGGGTATATGATTTCATTGCTTAGTAAATAAAGTCTCATCAGTGCTTGTTGTAGAAGAAATTCTTGTGCTGACTGCAAATCCAGATATACTGTTGACATATTGCTTATATAGTCATTCTGGTGTAAGCTAGTATTATGTATCTGACATTATCCTTCCTTTATCTAGATATCGTGACCTGCTTGGCAATAGATTACTGTGGAATCCATCTAATTTCAGGCTCCAGAGACACTACCTGCATGATATGGCAAATAGTTCAGCAGGTGAGTTATTTAGGTGCCCTATGAGAAGCAGTTTCTGATTTTTTTTGTCGTTGTTGACGGCTTTTTTATGATGGTTTATTGGTTTATTTTCTTTCAGATTTGCAAGATAGAATAGTCTATTGAAAGTGTTTAAATCAGTAATTTTATTAGGCTGGTTGTCATCTGTGTTTGAAATATTCACTGTGCTCATTAGTTGCTATGAAGCTGTTTTTGGGTTACCTTTCTATGTTTTTAAGGGCACAGTAAATGATTTTACAGGTTATTTTCACCGTAGGCAAATATTATTCCCATTGTACAAATGGGAGACTGGAAGAAGACACGCTTGCTTAAATCTGCAAAGCAAAAATAATTGGATCATTGCTTATAGTTGCAGGTTTTTACATTTGCAACCCACTGCTCGCTCTAGTGGCTGTATTTTGGCATTGCTTTTGCTCTGTGGGAAGTGCTGATATACTTACCAGCCTGGAGTTAGCAAAGCCGTGGATCTTTTACCTGGATTTATAGTGGCATTTTGGAAAGCTTGGGCTTGGTCTTGCACACAGTGGAAGTGGCTGTGATGCATGTGTGTCTTTAAATCCACAAGATCTGAGGCTTTTCTTTTAAATGTTTCTTTAAATGTTCATTTCTGACTGCTGCATGATGCATGTACAAATAACATTAATTGGAGGGGGGTGATTTCCATCACATCTTACGGACAGTGCAGATGATCAGGTTACCTTGCTTTTATCTCTGTGCTAAAATGAGCATGTGAAGCCACTGCAATGCTGGAAAACTGTGTGTTTTATGGAAGCGTGCTGTGAAAAACCTGTCAGTGAGTTGTCCATATGGTAAGAGTGTTGTCTGTGTGGTAAGAGTGTGTGTAGTCCTTTGAAGAAGCAGTGTGTGTTGTGCCAAATGTGCATGGTTAGAAAGGCAAAGTCCTAGACCTCAGAGTGGTATTTTTGATCTTAGATGAGGATAAACATTGGAAATTTTTTAATGTTATCTTCCCAGAGTGAGTTAAATGACGAGTCCTTCTCTGAAGATTTTTTTCTGTTTAGATAGGAGTCGCTTTTTGTTAGGTTTTTGATTCTAAATTTTTATTTGCATAATAGATATATAATATTTTTGTTGTATGTGTTTGTAAATTCTCTCATTTTTTTTTATCATGGTCCTTACATAGTGGCAGCAATGTCCCAACGTTGCTGTTTCTGTTCTCCGTTGCCACCTTTTTTCCCAGCTCTGTGTTCTGATGCGTTCTGCATTCCTGTGTGCTTCAGCTCTTCAGAACCTGATTCGCACTCAAATCCCTATCACACAAACCAGAGCAGTGTTCTCTGCAGATCAGTTCAGGACACCTTCCCTTGAAGCACAGGGCTTACCTTAAAACTGTTTGAAGAATGAGGTTATACGTGCCAGCAGTCCACTCACTGGAAGAAAAGTTCTGCTAGATAAGAATTATTGCAGGCTTTCCATTGTATCTCATCCGAGTGACAATCGTTCAGAGAAATTGTTCCTTTCTTAGATAAAGGACCAAAGTTGCTGTAATTTTTAGCAAAATACCTTTTAGGCTCTGTGAGTTTTAATATGAAGGTGATGCTCAATTTCATGGTAAACTGCAGAAGCTGAACAAGCCAAATACACAAGGAAGGGAAAAATGGGTCTGTGAACCCCTCCAGTTAGGAGTGCTCACTGTGATACTTGCATACCTGCTCGTGCAGAAGGATAGAAGCACCTCAGCTGAGCAACCCTCTTTCACATCCATGTAGTAATTGCAAGTTCATTTGTTCTTCTGATTTCAGTAAATAGGGCTGCTGACAAAAGACAGGAAATTGAAATTGGAATGGGTGAGTTGTGACTTTGGTTCTGGCCTGTGTCAAATATCCTTCTCGCCCCAGTGATACTGAAGATACCAGAAATTATTTTTTTTGTCCTTCAGCTGCAAGAGAATGTGTCATTGCACTTTTTGTTACTCTCAGGGAGGAGTGCCCGTAGGCCTGGCACCTAAGCCCTTGCAGATCCTTTATGGGCACACTGACGAAGTTTCCAGTGTTGGCATCAGCACTGAGTTGGACATGGCAGTGTCAGGATCCAAGGTAAGCATCTTCATGCTCTCCCCTCTTTTGATTCTTCTGTACTCAAACCCTAGAGCATATTTAGTGCTGATTAACTGTGATACCAGAAATGTGACCTTTTCCCAATTTCTTCAACCTTGTACATCGAGATGATGACAAGTACCATCGTCTTTGCTGCATGCTTAAATCAGTCTGTCTCAAACTATGTTCTACACAACATAGGTCTTGGTTACCATGTTGTGCTGCTTTTGGATAGATGAGCTTTGAGTGTGCAGACTTGTTTGAAGCTTATCAAACTTCTCCTAGAAATAATTCTGTGACAGAACTTTGCTGATTGCTTATTCTCGAAGGCTCTTCACAGCTTACTCCTGCTCTATTTTGCTGAACAATGCTGGCCTAATACTGACCTTTTGCTGCACCTAATTCTGATATTCTTAGCTCCTGTGATATGTGAAATGGCTACTTGCTGCCTCCCTTCTGCTCTTGACTTATTTGTGCTTGCTTGTTTGTTTATATGCCTGTATTATGAGTCCCTGAAGGAAAGGTTTTGTTTTGAAGAATCCCAATCCCCAATTTAGGATTTAAATGCTTTCACAATACTCCCTGGGTATCACTTTTTCTTTTTACTATTGTTTCCATATGATGCTGTAATTACTTAAGAGGTTATGGCTGAATAACATCACCTACCTACACTTGGTCTCTGCAGGATGGGACTGTGATTATCCGCACTGTTCGGAAAGGTCAGTACATGAGGACTTTGCGGCCCCCGTGTGAGAGCTCTCTGCTGCTGAATGTTCCCAACCTGGCTGTGTCGTGGGAAGGTCATATAGTTGTCCACACCAGCATAGAAGGAAAGACCACTCTTAAGGTACTTAAGTTCATGGAATACCTTTGCTTGTTTTGCTGGAGAGTTTAATTCTAAACAGTTTAATTTTATCCTGGTTTCCTAAAGAGATGAGGCTTTTGATTGTCCATATCTGATCTATTTGTTTCCTTCTTCTTAATCCACTAGCTAATTTTAGTGAAATTTGATGGAGAGAGAAAAATTGGAGACATCCTGAATTTCAATAGGTTTCTTAAAAATCTCTTAGCCACCTGTGAGGGAGATGCTTAAACATATATTAATGAATCTTCATCAGCTGTTTTGGGATGCGAAACTAGGAGAAAACAGTTCCACATTTTCAGTTTCACAGAAATAATAGGGAGCTCCTAATTTGGGGTGCTTGGTGCCCGGAACTGCACTAGTGTTTCTTGGCCTTGGGTTGGAAAAACTGCAACCTTTAAGGTTCCCTGTATAACTTGGTCAGCCTACTGTCAGAGCAACTGCATAGTTGTTTTGATAGAAATCACAAAAGCTTAATTTTATGAGCATTGAAAATTGTCTGAAAGGCAAGTTTATTGTAGATATTCTGGCTACATTGGGAGGTTGGGGAAGGATGGGACTGTGGTGGAAAGCTGGAAAGTATTAAGATGGTCCTGTTGGCCGCTTCTTTAATCTGTCAGGAGTTCCTTGCTGTGTGCAGACAGTGCTTTTACTTGTAGCTCTGTGAAATAAGTGTTTCCTTTTGCCTTTCCCTTTCTAGAAGGGTTAAAGAGCGGGCTCTTCTTCCTTAGTGAAATCTCTCAGAAAAAGAATAGGAACCTGCCCATAAATATCTTAATGTTTCTTGAAAATTTTGAATTGATCGGATGAACAGGTGAAAAGTTACTGTGCAACAAAAAGTAGAGAGGAAAAACTTTAAATAGGTGTTCATACAATGTATACTGTGTATAGGGTGTGGGCTCAGTTCCCTTGTATCATTCAACAAGTAAACTGCTAACAGGAATATTGTCTGATTACTGCACAAGTTGACTCCTGCTAGCGATCTTGAAGGTACAATAATGCATTTCTAATCCAATCCCTCCTTCATGACCTTTATTTTTCATCTCTTCAGGATAAGAATGCCTTACATCTCTACTCTGTCAATGGGAAGTATCTGTGTTCTGAGACTCTGAAGGAGGAAATATCTGATATGTGTGTGACTGGTGAGCATATTGTGATGGGCAGCTTGCAGGGATTCCTTTCCATACGTGATCTCTACAGGTAACGTACCAGCACCAGGAGTTTATTACTGAGATGCAAACACAAAAGTTCCTTTATAAATTGTTATGTTACATGGAGCTTATGGAGCCCATAACTTCCATTCTTATTCCAATGATCATGATGAAGGTGGCAGCAATAGCTTTATTCTACTTTGCTGGAAAATTCTGGAAAATCATGTTGATGGGGTGATGGAAAATAAGAGGTCAAACAGGCCCCTTTTCTTACACCCGTTTACCCTGATTATGGGCTGGAACTGACAAAATGTAGAGAGAGATGTGTCTGTGATTGTCCCTATATCACTGGGGATGGCACAGCATCTGTGGGATGTGTTTTCTCATGTGGTCTGATTTGACTTTAAATTCTGTTTATTCTTACTCTTTGTAGAGCTTCACTGCCCTTCACAATGGTCTTAATGGAAGATCATGGGAATGGTATTTGTCCCTAGGGAGTTGCAGGAGTGATGTTGGTGCTGCTCAGAGGAAATGTCTTAATCTACTGTTTTACCTATCTATACTCATCCTTGTTATTGGAGCTCTACTGTGGGATGTGATTTGGTCTTTCCTTAGAAGTTCCCAGTAATGAAAATTGCAAACTAGATGCTTGAGAAACTGTTTTTTATAATGTAGATGATAATTTCAAATGCAGTGTTATTCTCTGCAGTATGTACAAATAAATATGTAACATACTTCGCGCTTTTTGTTCATTTCAGCCTGAATCTCATCATTTCCCCCTTAGCCATGCGGCTACCGATTCATTGCATTTCTGTCACCAAAGAGTACAGCCACATCCTTGTTGGCTTGGAGGATGGCAAGTTGATTATCGTTGGTGTTGGCAAACCAGCAGAGGTAAAACCCACCATCAAGAACTTTCTCTACCGAACAGTGGGAAATTCAATTATTTCAGCTTTCCAGTTGAGCAAGAGGTCTCCTCTATGGCAGGGAAAATTTAAGAACAAATTTCAGTTTTCAGTGGGGAAGAAATAACTTTTGAGACTGCTCTACTGAGATTTCTTAGTAAGAATCAAAGGTGCATAGGGATCGGAGATGGGAAACTCGTTTGGACTAACCTCCAGGCTTTTATCACTGACATCTGAATAAGCAAAGTCATACTAGCTAACCTTTTCTGACCATGTTAGTGTTGTCAGCCACTACTTGAGGAAATATTTTTCCAGAAGAAAATTGGAAACAAAAGAATAAGCTACTTTATTTCCTTTCTATGGTTTCCATCAAATGCCTTTTAATATGCATTGACTAAATTTGGGGGGAAAAAATAATTGCTTCTGTTAAGAATCTCCAATTGTAAATGCACAAAGACTTATTTTTGTAGCTTCCCAATATGCTCTCTGCTCCATATGGTGAATATAAACTTGTTGGTACTGCATATGCAGTATCACATACAGAGCATCCATCTGTCAAATAGCTATGCCCGTGTTTTCTTGCACAAAACAGATTTTGCTTTAAGTACTTCTTGTCATGACTGTCGGAGTGCTTCAGTTAGCTTTAGCCTGCCTCTCTTCATAACTCAACTTCCATTGTGCTGCAATATTTACTTGGAATTAGGATTATTGCTTCTACATGATCTTCAGCACATATCGGAAAAGTCTGTGTTGACTTAATTTTATAATCTAATTGTTAAAATGGTGTGTTTGGTATTTAAAAATATTGCAGGGAGAAGAGGCACGGCTGAATGTTTGAAATGTGCTTCTGAGCATGATAGATTGATCTTATAGCTGATGGCGGGGGCGTTTCCACCAACTTGTCCACTTGGACAGTTTTTTCCTATTGTAGAATTGATGAAGAACTACTTAAAATGTGGTTAAACACATCTTTGTAATGGCAGTTTTAGTCACTGTCACTTCTAAGTTTCTTAGAAAGAGAAAAAGAGAAAAGGCTGAAATGTATGTATCTCGTTACACTGAAGGCTTTTTTGTTTTCTTTTAGTTCCTAATTATATCTATTTTTCTAATTCTGAAGCAGGTATAGTTTCAACGACTGGGTTCCTTTTATGGTTGTAGAGACTTTCAAGCAACTTTTTCCCAGTATTTTCTGCTTATAATTCAGATGATCTGCAAGATCACTATCCATGTAAATAGATTTAAAACAGCTATCTTAGGGGTGAAAACAAATCCTGTATTTTCCAGTTTTCTATTATGACATGAATCATTATATTTGTAAAGTGGGGGGGACTATTTATGTAGTTATTTTGGAAAGAATATATAAATTATTAGAACTTTAAATACATCATGCAAAAGTATACACCACTGTATTTCCAGCTTTTAGTTATACTAATCCTTAAAGGGAGATACCTTCTAAATGCACAAAATGAAATATTGCTTGGTATTAAGATTGACCTCTAGTCTTCCTGCATTGACAGTATGGTCAGAAATGAAGTATAACAAATGTTTTTTGTATTTTAAAACTACCTGGCTGCTAGGGATGTTACAGAAGGCTGTGGGATTATCATGTGGTAGTGATGAACCCTTTCAGCATGGTGCCTTTCCTACAACGCTGCTGCTCTGATGGTCTAGTTCTTAAACTCCTTTGTAGTATTTAACTGTTGGAAAGGTGCTTTTTTCCTGAAGTGTGTGCTGTTAAGACATGCATCTTCTTTAGTAACCTATAAGAGGTTTTATATCCTAAGCACCTGCCAGACTGTGATCAGTACTGGCCAGTCATAATCTGTGTGTTTAAGGAGTTAATTTAAAAACAGGTTATTACAAATTGAGGTCATTTTGCAGATTCACCAGACACCAGATTTAATATAGCCTCTGGTTGCTTGTAATCTGTCTTTACTTATGGAATATTTGGTATGAATCATTTCTGGTTTAAATTTTGCATAGAGTACTCCACGGGGGATCTTTGGAAGACGTATACCAGGAGCTTCCCTTTCTCCCCTTCCCTCCTCCTGCCCTTGCTGCCCTGCAATATTCCATCACTTTAAGGAAATTGTCAAGGATTCATTTCTGTTCTCTCCTCCTTTTCAGTTGTAGCAATTATTATTTGAAATGCCATTTCTACTAATTTGGTTCATTTTTATTTGACATTCTGCTCTTCTATTGCCTTTCTAACAAAACAGCAATCTAAACTAGAGTCTATTTCTAAGCCATTTAAAGTAGGTTAAGCATTTAGTCTCTGTTACTTCACAATATCCCTTTAACTTTTCAAAATCTGAAGAGACAGAGATTAGTGTTTTGTCTGTTGTTTTGTGTCAGTCCCAAGAATCATCCCAAAGTGTAACTTTTTGTTTATTTGTTTTTAAATATTTTGTGTTGATATGATTTTGTTTATGCAGTACCTTTTAGTGTCTGCGCTTCACCAGAATCCGTGTCTGAAGTTCCTTTTTAATTTATCCGCCTTATCCCTTCCCCCTCCTTTTGTTTCTCTGGATTACTTTAAACAGATGCGCTCAGGTCAGCTTTCCCGAAAGCTGTGGGGATCAAGCAAACGGCTCAGCCAGATCTCATCAGGAGAGACTGAATATAACACTCAAGATCCCAAGTGAACTGCTGCTTCCACCTTCTCTCATGGATTCCAGAAAAATGCTTAATCTTTTTGTCACTTTAAGCATATCTCCAACTTTCAGGGGTTTGATTCTTAACGATCTGTTGAAGATGAAGCTATGGTAGAGGTACAGTAATTTCCATACATACCCATGCAAGTTAACTTGCTTGCATACTTAGCCTTGTTGAGTTGGGCACAGCAGAATCCTCTCTAAATAGCTGCTAAAACAGTGTTTCAGGGAAACAAGCCAAATACCCCAAACTTCCAAACCTAAACTTGCTAATTTAAGTAGCACTTGATTTAAAACTGCATAGGGCCAGATGCTCCTTGATCACAAGGTATCTGGCTTTGCTTTGACAACATTGCGGTTCCCCAACAGTAAACCAAGATTCCATCAGTTGTGCTGGTCTGAAATGGGGACAGCTGACATGACCTTTTCGATATATATATGTGTTTTATTTTTATTTTTTTAAGACCAATCCACTTGTGACTTATTCCTGTAAATGGCTATTGCTGTCTTTTTTTTTTTTTTGTCTAGTTCTAGATTTAGGCGTTCTGCAAGGAGCATCTGTGTTGCACTACTTGATCAGAAAATGAAAAACTTCAGAGGAGTTGAAGGAGGTGGGAAATACTTGCTGCTGAAAACTATTTATATTATTAAGTAGACTAAGACACACTAAGAAATCCTTTAATATATTTTAGGATCCTGTAGAAATAAATATAGAAGAAATAATCAAGTATCCACATTGGTTAAAGATTCTGTTTCATTAGTAAGGCAACTCTTGAAGAAAAAAAAAAAAAAAAGAAAGAAAAAAACCCCACAGATTTCCACTTGAACAACATTACATACAGCTCACTTTATTTAAAGAGCACCTGGTTGTTTCTTTGGTTGGAATTGGAATTCACCAAACTCGTAGTTAGCTATATTTCTGTTTCTGGAAAGCAAGCAGGAAAACAGTTAGTAGATCCTGTGGTGATGTATGTTTAATACCTGGAAAAGGAAAATAATGGATCCTTGCATGTTCTCTACACAGCAGAGTAGTTATGGACTGGATGCTGTTCTTGGGGAAGACATTAGTGAGTGGTTTTGTTTTAGAGATATGTGATAAGAGAGTGCATGTTTTCCTGTTGCTCTGGCATTTTGTGAAGTAAATGTTAATGTTTGAAATAAGTGCTCTATTGTTGGGAAAGTGTGGTGCTAAAGAGAAAATGTTGTATCAAAGTGTGAGGTTGTGTGTGTGTGTAATATGTATTTATATGTATGTATGTGTACTGAAAGAGGATACTATTCCCCTTGCGCCTTTTGGGATAAGGCAGAGCTATAAGTAATGTTTCCTTTGGACTACCCCTTTTTCCCTTCTACCATAGCTTTTCTGTTGTTGTTATTTTTATTTATTTATGGAAATGAGTATGTGTTGTATTCTCTATAAATGTTACCAGATATTCCCTGTGGCTGGGGAGCTATTGAACTACCTGAGGAATTCCATTATGCATAATTTCATTTCATTAGCTTTAACACAATATTTAAGGAGTCTGTAGAAATAGTAGTACCTCTGCCCCTCAGCCCCTTCAGGGTAACCTTTAAACTCTGTTAATCCGTTACAACTTTCTCCAATTTCTTTAACTGCAAAAAGTTCTCCTTAATGATTGTGTGTTCTGAAAAAACAAACAAAAAAAAAACCCTACTATGTAACTTTAGGAAGTGAAATGATGAACTAGACTAGTGAGAAGTGAGTCTATGCATAGTTGCAATATTCTGACTAGTCCTTGTGGCTGACTGGATCATCTGGAAAGCTAGGAGAACATCAGAAGCATTGAGGCAGAGGCACTTGTCAAGACAACTTGTAATTTCCAAAAATTTAAGTAGTGTGTTCTTCAGACTCTGTGTACACACACATACGCACACGTGCGCACACACACATATTCTGTGCTTTCAAATAAACTGTAAAAAAAGGGAGGGCCTAAGTGAAAAATACCAACCGTTTATAATTGATTATTTATCCAATAACAGTACTAAAGATATGCTGAAGTGTTAAGTGTGTGTGTGGAGATGTGCAGTAGGTTTGTGCTTTACTTTTTCCCAAAGAAGGGGTTTCTGAGGAGGTTAAGAAACTGAGAAACTTTCTGAAGAAACCAAGAGGTCCCAGCTCTGACCGGGTGATTGTTGTGAAGAAGGAAGTCAAAAACATGAGCTTGTTGGGGCATTGAGCTAGGACTTTTCTAAGTGTGCATATATGTACAATTTTCAGTGCATATATGAGGTTAAGTGTGTATATTTGCAGGGAGAAATCAGGATGTTTCAGGCTAGGAGAATCAAGTGTAAAAATGGAGGATATAAGTATTTAGTTGTGTTTGGCCAGAAGGTGGGTTTCCCGCTCTCAGAAGCGTGGAGAGGTTCACATATGGGTTCAAGATCCTCATGTGTTTTAGATATGCTCATACAAAGATGGAATTAGTAAATGTGTGTAGAAATTTAATATTAAAGAATACCGAATATACTGTGTCAGCTTACATAAAATACAATGTAGTTGCAATAATCAGGATGCCGGAGTTTAGGATGAAGTGCTTTGTTTGAATGTCATCCTTTCAGTGCTTCCCAAGCATTAGGTGATACACAGAAGCATCTGGGAATGGTTTAAACGGGAGCAGCTTCTTGGGCTCTTGGACTCGAGACTGCCGCAGCAGCAGGAGGGAGGGACGGCCGGGCTCGGAGCTGCTTCGCGCTCCGTGCAGGACAGCAGCATCTCGTGACGTTTGTCTCTTGCAGTTGAGGATGAGGGGTAGGTGCTTCACACACGGGAAGCTTCCAGAATGCCTGCAGCAAGACCCCCGTAGGCTGAAGGTGTGTACTTTGCCTTTATCTAAAACCTGCTTTAAGTACGGCATAGGCAGTAAGTGCAAGTATTAGTTGGTATTTTGCTTAATTCTGTTTTAACTTTTTTGCGAGTCATCTTGAGTTTTTTGCCTTTTTTTTAAAGAAAAGGAAGAAAGTGGCTTTTTAGAGAGCTGTTCAGGTTGATTGAATTGTAGTCTGTTACGCAGTGCACAAGGAATTAGTGAAGAGTCTTCCTTCAAGTTTTTTTTTCTTCCTTTTCCTCAATGTAATAAAGTTCAGGATCCCACCACATTCTGTTCTTCATGTAGAACAATATATATTAGTAAAATAATTCATGTTTGCCTCGAGCTAAGATTTATTTATTAAGTGTAAGAAGTAAAGCTGTGAGATGAAAATTCTGATTAATTCAGAATAAACAAGTCTCAAGTGCACAGTTGTTTCATAACACTGCATTAGTCAAGACCACCATGGTGGATTATCTTGCATTTAATCTTATGGACGCCTGTAATGATATTTATTAAAGCTGAAAATATGCTTTCTTTGACACTAAGTAACAGTGTAAATATATGTATCTGAAAGAAACTGAAAATTGACTTTCTTTACATATCTGTATATAAACTAGATCAAGCAGTTAGCTCTATTGACCCGCACAATTAGAACTTGTATACCAAAGGATGATGCTTAGAAGACATCCCTCCTTTAATTCAAGTTTAATGTATGGCAAACTTCTCTTCATATTTAGTTATGCTTGGTGGCATTTTTTTAGTGGTCTTTTATCGATAAACAAGAATCTCGTCTAGTCTGTATGGTTTTTGTAGTGTAGCAGCATTCAGAAAGTTAAATGTTTGCTGTTCAAGTTGGCATCTGAATTCTGTGAATTATATTGTATCAATCTGTTATCTAATACTCACAGGGTATCTAGAAATCATGTCTTCCATCATCCGCATATCTTACTAACACCAGCACAAAATAATAATAATCCCCATCTCAAAGACAACCAGAATTTTTCTCATTGGTTAATGCATATTGTGGGAATTGCATTTTAGGAAGCTTGTTTGATTTAAAAAATAGACTACAGATTGTTTTGAATTTGGTGACCTTGATACAAGCAATCTTCCCCCCCTTCCCCCCTACTTACCTTAGATTGTACATGTTACTGCAAAACAGATGTATCATTGTCTTTGCAGGCTTTAAATAGTCTATAAAAGTGGCCATTTTATAAAGATTCTCTTCAAAGATGTATTTTTGTGTCCTTAAAAGGAAGTGCAAAGAGCTATGCTCCTGCACCGTACAAATCCTTTATGGTACTGGTAGTGGTCCTATATCATGCCTGCAGGAATTAATTTATTTTTCTTTGCAATGCACAGTAGCTGTTCAATCCTCCCTGGCTCGGTGGGAGCTCTGTACCCGACTGTCCTAGACCTCCTTCCTCTCCCCTTCCCTTCCAAGTCCCTTCTGGTGATTTTTGTTATGTCACATTGGCTAAAGAATATATCCGTGCCGTGTATGCATTGTATTTGAGAGTGTTTATCCATGGGTTACAGTACAGTGGGGAGCTTTAAAGCTGGGGAGAGAAGGTGCCGGTTCCCACCAGCCTGCCCGAATGTCTAAACGGAGACTCGCTGGAGGCTGCTGCTCTGTATGGCCCCCAACGGCACCTCTTCCACAAGTAAAGGTACCTTGCTGGCCATGTCAGGTGCTGAGGCCGGAGACTGTATATATATATTTTTTTCTTTCAAATAATTAAAAAAAAGATATGTATTCCTATATGAACCTAAGGTCTGACCTAATAAATACCGTTAGATGAAAGCCCTAAGGAGGTATTTAATTTGGAGAATTTAAGCATATGCCTGGGTGCTTTCTAGAATGGGCTCCTCTTGCTTTTTGGTTGAAAAGCTCTGTAGCTTTCAGGGGTGATACCTGTTAGTAGTGGTCAGGTGCTTGTGAAAGTTATGCTAAGAACAGTTACAGATGCATACTTTCTCTGGGCTGCTTGTCAGCATTTATCAGCAAAACCTCCTCAAAGCAAATATTATAGATGAGGAAAGAAATGCTTCTCGGCATATGCTATGAAGTGCTACTCTTGTGCAAACTGTTTTTAGTTGTTCTTGCTGAGTGTGAAAGTTGGTTTTGGAGTCATAGGTGATGCTGTAGGAAGCCAGTGACAGCCCTTAAGTACAAGTCACAGGTAGTGAAAAGGGGTGTCCAGTAACAGATTGTATTAATTTACATTGCTTTAAAATTGTGCACATTTTTTTGTCTGGGACTGCAGAGATCCAGTCAGTGATACAAGATACACTTCCTCTTTTGGGAGAAGTAATAGTTTTTTTTGCAATCATATGTGCGTGGATTCCTTTGTGCCAATGTCAGACTGGACTGAAGCGTTAGGAAGATGTTTCCCCTTCCATGCTGAGGAGCTAAATTGGTCTATCTCTAATACCCTTGTTTAGCACATGCTAAGCAAGAGGTTTTTTTAAAAAGCTACTGCAGTTGATAAAGCTAAGTAATAAAATGCTGTTGTCCACTACTTCACTATCATAGTCATCAGATTACCTGAGTGCAGAAATGCCTCCAGTGGCAGCACTGCCTGTTCTGCACAGGTTAATTTTGAGACAAGTGCTGTTTTTACTACTGCCAGAAGCCAGGCCTACAGTCTTAAACACCTTGTCTGTAAGGAACCATTTCTAGTGTTTAATCAGAAATATCATCTGTGCAATTTTAGTTCACCTCCTTTTGCTCTGCATGTCTGGAAGAAAAATGGTGTTTTGTTTTTTTGTCATCTTTTAATTGCTACTTACCCAAATGGCCCAAGTAGAATAGCTGTTTCATTGGTTTTTGCAGAAGAGTTCCTCCAGTTGTGTGTGCTTTTTGCTGGGAAAACTTGGCAAGTGTTTCCCGAGTATAGCTCTGTGATTAGACTCAGTGCAGACACAATTTCCTAACCCATCTTCTCTCTTAGAAACCACCTATATTATGGTTTAAAGCTGCTAAGGTGTCTTTAGATGTATACAAAACATCCAGCCATATTTATCATAGGTGTTAACTTAGAGAACACTCATTTATTTATCTAGTCAGTATTTACTCTTGAGGGAGCCATGTTTTTTGCCTCAAAACAGCTGCTCAAAATTAATTTACTCATGCACCCAACCATACTGCTTTAGTCATAAGTGGCTGTGAGCTGTTACTTGAAGAAAGCCATGAGAAAAATATTTCAAGGACAACTTGCTGTCTGTGTTCCAATTCAACCCTTAGCTATGTAGGAGCAGCCTCATCTAAGAGTGGAGAAAATGCTGCTTTTAAGAATGATCTCCCTTTGGTCAGGCTTTTGTTGGAAACTGCTGCTACTCAGTGTTCTTCATGAAGCTGAGTGAGCGAGACACTTGAACTTCCTTTCAGCATTTGTTTAAATCACTAAAGCTTAAGGGGGTGGGGGAAATAAAGGCCTTACTTATAGCAACATTTAATCATATCCTCTGGTAACTTTTACAGATTGTGCAGTTATGTGATTACAAATGGATTTCTAAATGCCAAAAAATGCCTTTCTTTAAAGAGTTAAATGTTAGGTCTGAGGAGTGGTGAATATATCCAATTTCAAAGATAAGCCTTCAGGCACTGTAATGAACCTGTTAGTCTTCTGTGCAATATCTTTTTCCCTTCTGGGTGCTTTAAGTGTATACTGTATGTCTTATTGTTATGATCAGTATGTTTTAAGAGTGTGTATATTGGCTAATGATGGATTTTTTCTGTACAGCATGATGGAAGATGTTTTAAAATTTTGCACTTTTCTAGGATTTGCAAGTTTGTAACCTAACAATTTTTAAGATGCACACTTTTGTACATAACTAGCTTTGTATATATCTAACATGGGTCTGAAGCAAATAAAAATAATTGAATGCATAAGTTCTCACTTTAATAGTGCAAAAATGAAACTAATGGTATGGCAGTCCACTAAATGAACAGTTCTTTCATTATGCAGGTAAAGCTAGGCACCAGGAGCAACGGACTCCATCTCCTGACTGAATTGTGTTAAGGAAACATTTTTAGTGGGAGAGGAATTAAAGTGGAGACATGACAGCACAGATCCTTTCAAACTAAGAATAGCTGTGATTACTCCAGCATGGTAATGTAAGTTTTGTGCGGAGGGGCATAACTGAGAAGGGTGGGGAAGAAGAGAGTCCACTACTACATATTTAAGATCTTTATTTATCAAGCGAAGCCTCTCCCCATATCCTGGGACTAGGTGCACCTCTTCCCTTGCTCTCCCTTGTCTTCCCAGGTGCTGCTTTCTGCTGCAGTGTAGGCAAGGCTACAGCCTTTGGAGATCTCTGTCAGTCAGGAGGAAGCTGAAATCTGTTCCAGGTTCGTGTTCAGTTGGTTTCTTACCCCTGTAACCAGACAATGCTGTAAGCTTGAACAGGAACTAGGAGTACTGTGCTTCCATCTGTTCCTGGCAGCGGCAGAACAAGGCATCTTCACTCCATGCCTAGCAGAGTCTTGACTCCTTTTATTCCCAGCATCATGGGCATAGATTTATATGCATGGATTTCACAATAATAGTCATAGGACTAAAGAAAGGATTTCCCTGGTCCTAGAATTTGACAAATCAGGGTCAAAGTGGCACTTCCCTAGTCTTCGATAGCACTGCACAGCCTGACTGCTGGAGCCGTTCTGTGAACGGTAGCTACAGGTCAGTAAATAGCACTAATGGATGTAGTGCCCCAGCACTGCCTGGGATAAGTCAGTCTTCCCTCACAGTACTGTCATATTTCCCCCTACTTCTGAGCATAAAGCGGAATTCCTATTTTCCCCTCAAGAGAAATGGAAGCATGGAATTAGGTTAGGTAGCCTCTGACATGGGTGACACTAACTAACTGCCAGTAGTTGAGTAGCAGTCTGTTTTCCCTTCTAGCTGAAGAAGGAGACTTATTCCATCAAATTCAAATGAAGCATTTACCTCAGAAACAGCCGTGCTCCTGTCACGCCTTGCAACGTGGCTTTGTCTCCTTCCACTAGCAGCATTGCACCTTCCCGCAGCCCCTTAGGTATGTGGAAATACTTTAATATTAGTTTTCAAGCTATTTGAAGAGCCAAAATGCTTGTCTGGAGAAAACCAATGTCTGAAGTGTAGCTTTCCCTGACTACAACCAATTACAAGATTTTCTCCATCACCAGTTTCTGACTAAGATGTTAGGACAAAATAGGTGAGTTAACTTGCTTCTAAAACAAGTTATTTCTTGATGTTTAGTTTTGCATTTTAACGACAGGTATACAACCCCTTAAGGAAGAAAAGGAAAAAGTCTGTCCCCCAACTTATTTCCACTACTACCTCTCTTAGATTTAGTGCAATCTGCCAAGCAACAACCAGTGGACAAACTTTATGTTCCAAGCTCAAAGTGGGTGCTGGAACAGGACACCCAAACTTCCTGCTTCTTCAGGCATACTGCAGTTATAAGCACACTACTGAACAGGCAAATACATCGTTTTGCCACTCACAGTGATTAAAACAGAATTATGAATATCCAGGGAGAGGATGTATCCTAGTATCGACATGCATGCCACCTCTAGCTTGCATGTGCCTGATGGCCAATGGCTGGACAAACTGGGGCTACCAATTTAGTACTTTAATAACAGGACTCTGGGCATTTAACATGCAGTACACTTTTAATTTCTTCTAATAATAATTTTCTGTAGATGATAAAAATCCCCCACTGAAATTGTTAGCAAGAATATCATCAGTTTTGCACACCACAGTTTTGTCAGACTTAGCAGGTAGGGGAGCCCACACTGAAAGCTAGCAGGGTTGCATTTAAAATATTTAGAGCGCTACAACTGTCAATACTACGCACCAGAACTGGAGGGGTGTTTGGTTCTTCATGATATTGGAGAATTCTTTCTTCTCTTGTCTCCTGCAACAGGAGCATTTACTGAATATGAATTTAGCTGTCCAGGCAGTAAGTTAGGATGAGAGATGCCCAAGTTCCTGACACTGAGCAGCTTCATAACATTAACAAAGCAGGCACTTGCCCCTCAAGCAGAATGTTTGGTTTGAGACTAATCTGTTGAAGGAAGTGACAGCACTGACTCTAGTGGATATGGATTTTAGCCTGTATCAGTAGCAACAACTGCTGCAAGGTGATCAAAGAGAACCTGCACAAGCCCAACCCCAAACCACCCTGAAAACTCACTTCTGTTCACTTCATCCACTGACTTAGTATTTTTTAAAAAAAAGCTAGAAAAAAAAAATCTCCATGCACTCGCCCTCAGAACAACAGCACTGAGAGTGGTGGTGCAAGCAGGTGTCTAAGATGCCCTCTTCAGCTAAGAGGGAGTTGAGTCATAGATTTCTATTGATTAAATACGTACTTGTTTATCCTCAAGTAGAAACTACATTGAAGAATGCTACTGGCTTTGCCATGTTTCTTGAAGATGGCTGCTATGAACTGAGCAACAGAAGTTAGAGAAATCAAACCAGAAGGATTTGTTGGTAAGGAAACACAGCAACACAGCAGGCACTTGGTACAGCACAGGGGTGCTTACCCCCTTCTCTCAGGGAAACAGCAAGAATTATTCACAGGCAAAGATTGCTTGCTTATCTAGAGACAAGCAAGCTAAAGAAGTGAGCACTTACTAGGTAATCTAAAGTCTAGAAGCACATTCTGATCCTCTATCCTTTAATTTGTCCTCTTACTCTAAATAATCTTGCTAGCCCTAGAAAAAAGCTTTTATTATAAGGAAGTATTTGGTCTGTTACAACACCTGCGGCCCAGAAATTGCGCTCCCAGGAACTGGCTCCAGACTTGGACTCTTGTTTTTTAAAAGGTATGTTTAAATCTGGTCTGAGCAGCGGACCAACAAGCAAAACTTCCTACAGCAGAACTTCTCAGAAACATATTGCATGTTATCTGTTAGTTTTTCTCCACTCCCATGCCAGGTATGAAGCAACACTTCAGAAGTTTAGACACTGCAATATTTCAGTTTGTGAAAAACAGTTTGTTCCAACTTAGTAATGCTATTGTCAACTTCTCACTCAAAGAGCAGTAAAATAGTGGAAGGCAGTAAACTATTATTGCCTCATAGGCATTTCCACCTGCCCAAGGAAGCAGTAGTTAAGCATGCCATAGCTTTGTAAAGCTTGGGAAACGTACACTATCCTTACAACTCTGCATCCTGGTTAGCGTGTTAACTCTGACATGCTTTACTTACACCCATGTGAGTGCTTCTAGGATCTGGATCCAGGTAGTGAGGGTTGATGTTAAAAGGAACTAAACCCAGGGCCTGGAGGGAAGGTGGGTAAACAATTGGCATGTCGTTCGTTGTATTGATGCTGATGGTAGCAACATTAGTTCCTGCACTGGATCCCACGTAGGGAACTCCATCCTAAAAGACAAAAGTAGTGATGTAGCATGCAGTATCATAACTAAAGTCTGTTTTACAGTATCTTCTATCAGTCTCAGAACTCCAGCAGTCAGCTCAGACTTAGGCCTTTTAGCTCATTTCTCTCCCAAGGAGAGTAGTTCACCACTCTTATTTTGCCAGGTTTCAAAGACTAATGGCAGCCTAGTTTGGCCACAGATTTTTGTTCACCCCCTTTCAAGGGAGGTCTCAATGTTCCAGGCATATTGGAGACCAAGATACAGGATCAGCTTGGGTTTGTCTTGAGAAAAGCTTCTGCATGAGCTCCTGCCTGTCCAGTTTGGCCAAAGTTGTGCAGTTCTTACCTCAAGGACTCTTTTCCTGATCTCCTGTATCAAACTGTTGTCATAGAGAGCTTTCAAGAGACGAAATGTGTTGCCACCTCCTGCAGAAAGAGAGTCCAGCTTATTTAAAATGCTTTTACCACCTGCTTTTCACAAAGTCATTACAAACTTGCTAGACTCAGTGTTTCCCATGTTCCATGCAGGGTTTTATTCTGCTTTGAGCCAGCAATAAGGCCAGAAGCTTCAGAGAAATGCCACTGGCTCATGTCCCAAGTCAGACGTGTAACACTAACACAGGCTGTTTGACAGGAGATACTGCTTTAATACCCTGGCATGTGATACTAGGACTAAACTCAGGTTGAGCACAGCAGACCTGAATCCCTTAAACCAGATAAAGTGATGATACAGATTCAGAAAACATGTTTTTAACTCTGAAGTACTGTTAAAATTAGTAATTTGAAACTGGTCGGAGAAGCAGTTCCTCTGATGGATCTTGCCTACTTCTTTCTTGGCTTGCTGTTCCTCAGGGAAACGGTAGGATTGTTTGCTGTAGCTTCTACTAAGTGCCAGGCCTGACTCCTTCTTCCTTGTCTCTGCAGTCCAAGCTCTGAGCAGGACTAATCCAGTGCACAGCACAGGAAGTAAAACTTACCTACAAATATTGCTTCAGATTTCCTTACAGCTTCCACTGGATCACAAGATTCATGAATGCTGTCCAGCCCATAGCCTTAAATGAAAAAAAGAACATTGACCTTTGGCAGTTTTGTTTAGAGGAGGGATGTGGAGCATTCCCTGTCCCCTCCACCTCTCTCAGGGCTACCAGGAAAACGCTGCAGCCTTTAACTCAGTAGCAGGCACAGTCTTGTGCTGATGCAGGGACCTGTATCCAGCTGAACTGAAGCACATATTTCCTTCATGGATCCACGTGCCCAGGGTCTAGAAGAGCAGTGGATTGCACTCAGTGTAGGACAGCTGAGCATTCCCACCAAGCCAGAAACCAGCAAAGGGGAAGGAGCTGTCGTTCCTCAGTTAGGTACAGGGTCAGAACAGCCTATGCCATCATGCTCGAGTAACTGTAGCCTTAAAAACTGATCTGGAAAAAGTTTTACTAGGAGCGAGATAGGTGGCTTCGCCTTGCAGGGAGAAGCGCCGGAGGCCGCATGGGCGGCAGCAGCCAACTCTTCCGGGACAGGAACGAAGGGCCCTCCACGAGGCGGCCAAGGGCTGCCTCGGCCGCAGCGGCAGGGCCCAAGCTGCCGGGC